TGATGATTTAGGTAAGAAAAAAAACAACGAAGAAAATTATCATTTTTATGAATCACATCCGAACATGTAGTTAAATAATCTCACGAGAGAAATAACAGACTTTTGGGAATGTTATAGAATAGATGCGAAGTAATTAGTTATTATTCTATAAAATTGTCATAAATCTTCAAGGACTAAATTGATTTGTTAGTCATTTTCATGACGACAGTCATATGTTATGTTACTATATATACACCTGATGAAGAACAGTGAAGAAGTAAAAATAACAATAGGAAAAGAAAAACAGCTGTTAAGGTCTGTCAAAGAACCAAAAAAAAAAGCGAATTGAATATATTTTCATTAAAAAAAATGCTAAGAATTTGTACAAATATTTACAATGTGAGATAAAATATTTTATCTATAAGAAAAAAAAACATATTTGTTTATTCTTAATAAAAATTTCCCACCTACTCTTTTGTGTACTCAAAAAGTGAGTATACTCTAGAATCGGTCAGTGTGCCCATCCGGCCGTATACACGATAACGTTTGAAAGGATAGTCAGATTGAGCTGAAATTTTGTGCACAATTCAATCTCATCAAGATCTCGTTTGAGTTCGAAGATGAGCCTAATTGACCGGGCCATTCCCGAGTTATTGCAAAAATACTGATATTTCCCTATGATTTTCGTATACACTTTTTGCAGTACACATAACTCTCAAATAAAATACGAAGTTTCCACATTTATTTTTAAATATAATTTAATTTTAGAATCATTACCAAAAACAGCAACACTTCGAAAACTGAATGATCTGATTAAACGTGCTCGTTTGGCTAAAGTATATATATCTATCTATAAAACTGTTATCTTTATTTATTTTTTTCATTTAATTAATCATAGGTGCATGCATTAATTGTTAGCGAGTTAAAAGAAAGTATGCCGAGTGTATTTGGAAAAGATTCGAAACGTAAAGAATTAATTAATGTAAGTCTTTTTTTGTTCTTATTTGATAATATTCTCATATTTTATATTAGAAATTACATCTTGTTTATGAAAAAATACAACGTGAACATAATATTCCATTAGGTGATTTTCCTAAAATCGAACGTATGCAAGAATTATTACGAAATATGGTTCGAAAATAAAAAATCTGATTGTTTTAAAACGAAATGATTTTCTTCTAGGATTTTACTAAATTTAAACCATTGGATAAAAAATTACTTGAACGTGTTGACAAAATGCTTGCTGAAGATGTACCAAAATTAATGAATATGATTCCACAAGAAGAACATGCTTATTTACAATTACAAACTCAAACAGCAAATACTACAACTCAAGGAAATACAATTTTTACTGATCAACAAGCAACACCATTTGAATTGGGTGGTGTTGAAGGTATTAATGAAGGTTTTGGAGAAAATGATTGGATTGTTACACGATCAAGACATGAATACGATCAAATATTTACTCAACTTTCACCACAAAATGGTAAAATAAGTGGTGCAGCAGCTAAACAAGAAATGATTAAATCGAAACTTGTAAATTTTTTTTGCTAAATTTAAAACAATAATATATATTTTTGATTCTTCTAGCCAAATAATGTACTAGGTCGTATATGGAAATTGAGTGATGTTGATAAAGATGGTATGCTTGATATTGATGAATGGGCTTTATCTCAACATCTCAGTAAGTTTTAATCGTATTATATTTTCTTTCGAAAAATTTTAATTCTTTTATTTCAGTTAAAGTTAAATTAGATGGCCATGAATTACCAAGTGCATTACCTGAACATCTTATACCTCCTAGTAAACGTCATTTAATTTCACGTGAAAATACAACAGATGGAAATGCTAGTCTTTATCCAACAATTGGTAATGGTGGTGAACAACATGTTACTGGCGATAGTTGATTTTTTGTTTCTATAGATCTTTCAATTAATTGATGTTAAACACGAGTATTGGTTAAAAATGTTTTATAGAAAGAACAGTGAATATACTTTAGAAAACATAAGAATCTATCATTTATTTATCTCATTTATCCGTTTATCTTTGTCCTTTTTTTTCTTATTTTATATATTAATGCAATCGTGTGTGTGTGTGTGTATACCTCTCTTCTCTTTTTTTATATAAACGATCTTTTTTCTCTGCTGTATCTATTCACGCTCGTTTATAAGCAATGTATGCAGTGGAAAAATGAATAAACTGAACACATGCTCGAATTTC